TAAATAAATTGTTTAAAACTTTCTTCCAATCTTCATCCAACGTTTCTTTCTCCTGGTCTCTGGTTTTGTCAGTCGTTTCTATCCCATCCATCTAGTCCATCAACCTGGTAACCTTATATCCGAGGCCCTTGGATCTCTTCCATGTCCCATCCGCAGATCTTCTTCATATTTATACCTGTGCTTTACTTTGTCTTCTGCTCCTTTCACTCGGGGAGACTCCAGCTTGACAATGTTTTTGTCCCTTCTCGACAGATCAGCCCCTTTTCCAAAGTCAACACTGAACTCCATATGGTATTTAAAAACATGTTTCAAAGTCCCTCCAAAGTTAAGGGCCCGCACAACCCCGGACACCTCCCAGCCCAAAGCCAGACTTGAAAGGTCAAAACATCCCTGCATAGGGGGGTCTATCCAGCCCCCCATCTCCAAACCAAACAGAACTCTGTCTCTCCAAATCTGGCTTTCTCCAGGTTCATTCATCAAGTCCAACAACTCATGTTCCTGCTGGGCCACAGTTCCCTCCATCTCTGCCTCACTAGGTCCAGCAACAGCCTCCTCCCTCATCTGATCTGTCAAAGCACACTCCTGAGTTAACTCCTGAGTGGGTTCTATATAAGTACCCACTGCCTGTCCAAACTTTCCGATCCCAACAGTCATCAAATCCATCTTCTCATGTAACTGTTCCAATAAAGCACTTGTCTTACAAAAGGCCAACACCAGAGCCTCCGAATACATTGTTGTTGAAGGTCAGAGTCTGTTCCCACGATCTTAATCTATTGCAGCTGCAAAGCTCCCCAGTTCGAATTTAATAACAGTTTCACAAGCTCCCTCTAGGGGAAAAAACTTCTATTTGTATCCATCTCTCTCCTTTTTTTAAAAAAAAAAAGCAAATCTAACAACAAAGTTTCCTTTTTCAGATATTTTGTCAATATTTTGTTCCTTTTAGATGCGAAAGGGAACAATGGAATCAATATGTTTCTCTTCTTTTAACTATCTGTCAAAAACGTTTGTCTATAGTCAATAAACTTCCCGAAGACGTCTGTCCTGACACCCCGCTCCCAGGTTCAGGACGGTGGAGAATTGCTTTTCTTTACTTGTCTTCTGCAAGTTTAATCAGTCCAGAAAAAGTTCCCCCCTCTTCTCCTGCTTCCAAGGGGGGTTCAGTAATTTTAAATGATGAAAATTGATCCTTTACAACGATTTTCTAAGCTCTAGCTTGCCGTGTCTTTGCTTCAATCTATTTACAAAAAGCGGAAGGCAAACTTCCTATTTAGACCTTCCCGCTTCAGTGCCAAATTAAAAGAAATTTCTTATTCCAATTTTCTGTTCTACTCACGGACAGTTATTTAAGCTCCAATTGTCCACAGGAAAAAGTCAGCACTCTCCGGCAACAGCAATGCGGCTTCACTCCATGAAAGAAGCAGTCGATTCAAGGCACCGCGCCACTCAACCCATGTCGCTCCGGAACCCCGAAATCGGGTTTCCCCGCGAGTAGGGGGGGCGCAAAGGTGCCGGCCGAATCCCACATCCACAGGTTTCTCCCGCCTGTGGTTTTTGATGGGTCTCCGCCTCGCCGTGGCGGTTCAGACCCTGTTTTCCACGGAGCGGATTCCTCCCGATCGGAGGAAATCCGCCATTGCCAGAGGCGCCAACCCGGAAGTCTGGGGAGCCACACAATTTAAGCCTGCTCTTTTCGTAACTTCTTTCTCCTTGTTCACTGGCAGTTAAAAATAACTATGGGTTGTATCTAACTAAGCTGTTCTTGTGGGGATGTTTAGGGAAGCAGGAGAGGATACATTATTTAATGATATCCTTCCTAACTTGAGTCAGCAAGTTCTATAACTTAGCAGAGTTGTTAAACAATCCCCTTTTTAAATTACACATGGTTAGCTAGTTGCTGGCTTGTCTGAGCCTCACTATATAGGATTCCTGGTTTCCCTTTTTATATCCCTCCCAAAAGAATAGACACAACCATCTGATTAAAGTTAACATAAAACTAGTTTACTGACAATCATCCAGTTCACAATAAGATCCCTGAACACAGTCCTAATTTACAGAACAACATATAACTATGTAAACTATCCCATAAGGGAAATGGTCTCAAATGACTGCGACTCAGCAGTCACTTCTGCTAACTCTTAGGAACACAAAAAGGAGAACAAGAAGAGCAGAACATGGAGGCCATGTGCTCCTCTGTCCAAGAACAGGCCACACCCACATTAAGTCACATGCAAAAGAAGTCTGTCCCAGCTCAGGAGGAACTAGCAAATTTTCTCCTGAGTGAGTCAAAGCATTCCCCAGCATGTGCATTGTAGGAATGTTGTATTTGACTGCAATACGTTTTTACATCCCACACAGAGCCAGGCAATTTAAGCCAGTTCTTTTCTTAACTTCTTTCTCCTTGTTCACTGGCAGTTAAAAATAACTATGGGTTGTATCTAACTAAGCTGTTATATTCACAGAAGGATGTCCATCTACACAACAGATCTTTTCCTGCCCCTCCAAATCTGCTCTGGAGGGCTGGGGGACAACTCAGGACAAATTTGAGAGTGGCATCAGGGAGAAGAGGGAAGGAAATTTTGGTTGCACAAGCAACCAAAACACGTAACCCTTTGTATCACTTGATAAGAGTACAGGTGCAGTGGAAATTAGCTGGAATTACATTGCTGATACAAGACAATGACATTCAAGTCGCTTGGACATGATAATGGAATCGGGGGAGGAAATGGTGGTAGTTTTCATGGTTAAATGCATAATGGTGACTCCCATCACAAAGCCATAATAACATCAACATGTTGAGGAGATTTTGTCCCCATCCTACAGTGTGCTTGTTCAAAAAGCTGTGTGCATGTTTGTTTTCCCCAGCAACCAAATCCCTTTTAGGCTTGAAAGGTGTATGATTTGTCTTCCCCCCTCCCATTTCATAATGGGGGGGGGGGAGTTCTCTCTTCTGTCTTCTTAATAATTTACAAACCCTACTTCCAATAGTGCACATGTCATACATAGTTAAAAAAGAGTAATGCGTTCTTCAGAATATATTTAGCTAAAAATTGTAGTCATGAATATTTGAAAGTATTACAGAGAAACAAGGGCAGTAGAAATTAGCATGAATGTTCAAGTGGTCACCTTAGAAGGCTGTGGGTCTGAGGTTATTAGTGAGTAGAAAACGTGGTTGGAAACTGTTCATCTGTCTTTTGAAGCAACAAAAGCCAGACAAAATGAACCACGTTGTTCTGCATAGCAAGCTCATTTTGTTACCAAGAAGCTCAGTTCAACTGGAATAATAAGAATAATGCTCCACCCATCCGGCTGGGTTGTCCCAGACATTCTGGGTGGCTTCCAACTCATATAAAAACATAATAAAACATCAAACATTTAAAAACTTCCCAATACAGGGCTGCCTTCAGATGTCTTCTAGATGTTGTATAGGCTAAGATTACCAGATTTTTTTCAATGAATCCGGGGACACTTTTCAATTTCAATTGATTTTGTATGTGGACTTATTTGTAAATCCGGGGACTGTCCCCGGGAAACGGAGATGTCTGGTAATCTTAGTATAGTCTCCTTGTCATCAGAAGGGAGGGTGTTCCACAGGGAGGGCGCCACTACCAAGAAGGCCCTCTGCCTGGTTCCCTGTAACTTCGCTTCTCACAATGACGGAACCGCCAGAAGGCTCTCAGAGCTGGACCTCTGGAACCCTGTGCATACTCTGGGGTTATGTGCACACTTTAGGATTGCAGTCAGCAATGAGTGCCATCATTTTAAGGAATCTCTCTTGAGGTGTTCGCCTCCCTGCATCCTCAGAATGCTTGGAAGGAAGGGTGAGGCCACACCAGCTATCCCCACCCCCAGCACCCTTGTTCCCATTGGCTCTACCCATGACCTTTTCTGAATGGGTAAACTGTGTGATTGGTTGACTGTGCTCCTATGCGGTTGGAGGATTCTTAATTAGGGACGCTGGGGATGGCCTCCCTCCTCCCTCCATTCAGTCACGGATTAGCCTCTTTTTGTTTCATTTTCACTTTTGCATTTGTTATGCAAATAATTGGCAATGCCCCTGTTTTCTCTGGCTGCTTGCAAATCACAGAGAATGTTTTCTTTCTGCATTTATTTTATCTGATAGTAGCGTGCTAATTAATAGCTACTGCCAATTTGTCATGATGGAATTGGTTGATTCAATGATTTTTATTTTTTTAATCCCACTTAATCCTAGCGGCTCTGAGCAAGTTATGATAAATGTAAACATATACAACCGTGACCAAAATAAAATCTGACATGTTTGATTTATCATTTCCCCCATTTAGGGTTGCCATGCGTCTGGAATTTCCCTGCCATATCCGGAATACTGTAATCAGCAGCAGCGTCTGGATGGAAATTGGGGAAACGTCTGGGAAAATCTGGATTTATGGCAACCCATGTCGACAGTGCCGTCTTTGCATAAAAATAGCCCCCAAACGGCATTTTTAAAGTGATTTTGCCCAGAAAGCTCAACAACTTTTCTATCCGTTTTGAAATACGGCAACCCTACACTAGCCCCTCCATTAGCTCTATTTTCTCTCTTCCTTTCCCCCATCTACTCCCTGCTGCAGAAACAAATAACACTTTCCTGTTCCTTTGTATTCCCCAGTTGCAGTCTAGATACAATATAGCAAACCCAAATCATGAGCTTCCCAACCGCATACCTCCTCCCATGGTTTTGACTCTCAGGTCACATTTGTACCATACATTTAAACGGGCATAGATTCCCCCCAAAATACGGTAGTTTTTTTAAGGGTGCCGAAGTTGTTAGGAGACCCCTCACAGAGCTGCAATTCCTGCAGATGAAAAGGAGAAACAGAGCTGTGTTCCATCAGCGTATTGCAAACCACACACTCCAATATACACTCGTCATTTTATCTGTATGCCACCTTTTCATATTTAAAACCATGCTCAAGGTGGCTTGCAACATGCGAAAAATAAATAAATGCAAATATAACAAAAGATAGTCATAAACAATCAGTAAGGCACATCATGCATAGCTCAGTTGGTAGAGCATTAGACTCTTAGTCTTGGGGTTGTGAGTTCAAGCCCCAGGTTGGGCAAAAGATTCCTGCATTGCAGGGGGTTGGATAAGATGAAACTCATGGGCCCTTCCAGCACTACAATTCTATGATTCTATGAATATCAAAAAGTACACACCCAAATGGAACAATTTCCACATTAAATAATACAGTCATACCTCAGGTTACAGACGCTTCAGGTTGCGCGTTTTGGGGTTGTGCACCTCACCGAACCCGGAAGTACCGGAATGGGTTACTTCCGGGTTTTGGCGCTCGTGCATGCACAGAAACACTAAATCTGTGCATGCGCAGAAGCACCGAATCGCAACCCACGCGTGTGCAGACACGGCGCCGCGAGTTGCGAGCGTGCCTGCCGCACGGATCACGTTCGCAACCTGAGCGTCCACTGTACTAAGATCTAAAAATAAAGATGAAAAAAAATACTAACAATAACAGCAACAAACACCCCCAACAACAACCCCTCCCCCCCAAAAAAATTCACAACACCCTCAGCTTTTGTAGCTGGAGTCAGTCAGGACCTCACCTACCCAAGCGAGGTGGGAAAAGCCTGCAAGGCAGGGAGAACATATTCCAGGAGGACTCACAGCCTATATAATAGCTATTGAGCTGGATGGCCCAGTGCTATGACCAGAGGCAGTTTTAGGGTAGAACGACTGGTGCAGCCATACTGGGAGGTGCCCTGCGGGGGGCGCCACAACAATGCTGAAGAATGGAGCACGAGAGGTGGGGGGGGGCATGAAATTTTAACATTGCACAGGGTGCTGCTGAAATTTGGGAGCCCAAAATCTGCCACTGAACTGACTCAGTATAAAGCAGCTTCTGAAAAGTCTTTGAGGCAGACACCTCATCCTTTCTCTGGACCCATTATTATAAATTATGCTGGAGCTTCATTTAATGAATCATATGTCTTATGATAATGATTCTGAGATGTGATTCATTTTTTAACAGAATCATTCTCATGACGTGCCTATGCTGAGCCTCTTCTCTTTGAGTTTTATTTAAGAGGCTATTGTCAGTTCAGAGAAAAGCTGCCAATCACTTTTCCTGAATAAGATGTAAAGTGAAATATGCATACGACCAATAATTGAAACCAAATATACATACAAGCTCTCTATATTTCTAATATTCCCTTTTATCCCTCTGCTAATTCTCAAATCAACGAACTAAGCTACACCCTAATTATTCTCTTATCTCTTCTATCATGTTTCCATCTTCTTGTGGCTATAAAATCTCCATTGCAGCTAAAAGATGATATAAAACTTTCCATTATCCGTCAGAAGTTTTACCAACTTTTCACGGCTCCAATTAGCCGAATTGAGAGTTTCTGAACTCCAGCGTGACATTTAACTCCACTTAAAATATGTGTGATTGTTGGGCTATAAAATAGTGCAAATTGATCTAGCAGGTACAACAGGCGGACCGTTGCTTTGCAGATGGCAAAAAGGTTATACACAGAGGAGGAAGAATAGAAAAAGGTCATGAATCAGTTTAATTCATACACACACACACACACACACACACACACACACACCCATAATCATATATATATATATATATATATATATATATATATATATGCATAATCTGGATCCTGGCTGTGGTGCTCCAGTCCTCTAGATGTAGGAAAGCTTAGAAGAGTGCTACTAGGCATATGCACAAACTCACGGTCTATAAAAAGCATACCTGGCACACCAAAAAGAAACCCCCTCACACACAAAAATTTAACAGAGTACTGGACCCTTGGTACTGCTTATGATGGGGATCCTCTGACAGCAATGGAGGAAGCCATTCGGGCGCCTGGACCACCCCATGGGGCATCTGGAGTCTGCCTGCCTCCTCCCACTCAGCTGCCCTACAGCTAGGGGGAGGCAGTGGGCGAACCGTTAGGGCAGTGCAGGCGTCTGCGCTCCCAAGCCACTGCATGTCTCCCAGGAGAGATGTGTGGCTTGGGCGCACTGCAGGCTTCGCATTGAGTGCTGCCCAACATTTTGTCACCCCCTCAGTGGTGACACCCCACTGGGGCAGCCCACACCCACCGCATCCCCCTTCCTCCGCCTCTGTCCTCTGGTCCTCCACATGTTGATGGGCTACAGCTCCTTTAATCTCTGAGCACTGGCTATGCTGATGAGAGCTGGAACCTCACAACATCTGGAGAACCACAAGTTCTCCATCTCTTTCGTACAGGGAACATGTACAAGGTTCAGACCAGGATCTCCGAACAATGTGACTACTGCTCACCTAACTGGAGGCTGTGGGGTGATGAAGTAGTTAAGGATTCCAGGCCATTTGTGATCACGGCAACTAGAATAGCCATAACAGGATCACAGTGGCCTCCTCATCGCTTCTTTGATAGAAACTTGCCATGGTCCACATCAGTCACTTTGCAGCCAGCCCCATGACTTCCTTCCACACATCATAGAATCATAGAATCATAGAGTTGGAAGAGACCACAAGGGCCATCGAGTCCAACCCCCTGCCAAGCAGGAAACACCATCAGAGCACTCCTGACATATGGTTGTCAAGCCTCTGCTTAAAGACCTCCAAAGAAGGAGACTCCGCCACACTCCTTGGCAGCAAATTCCACTGTCGAACAGCTCTTACTGGCAGGAAGTTCTTCCTAATGTTTAGGTGGAATCATCCATCCAGAACAATTGGGTGGGTCCAGAAACATCCTAAGACATGTTTATGTCTTGATGGTGAAAAACTAAATGGTGCTTCCTGCTTCTCTTGATGTAAAAAAAAAATAATGTTATCAATATGTAATGTCTAATTTGCTGCTCTTTTATATTACCCCTAACTCTGCTCTATAAATCAGCTTACTTCACATGCATAACTGGCCCAGGCTAGACCGTAGCAACACTAATTTTCCCTTTGGATTACAGCTACCAGTGCACTCCCATTTCTGGAAGGGCTTTTAATCCAGTAAACACCTCTAACAGAAGGGGATGGAGTATAATTTTTACTGATTCCTCCTTCCACTTGCGGCACAGTCCTTCCCAAGCTGCTATGGAGAATTGTCAAACCCTCAGCAGTGGATTTTCAGGGGAGCACTGGATCACAGGGGGCAGGAGGAATGAGCGAAAACCTGCCTCCCTCCTTTAGTTAGCACCAGGCCCGTCTTACCCATAGTGGCCAGGGCGCCAAGTTCTGAGGGCGCCAGGCAAGAGTCCGGGGAACCCCGAATGAGCGCGCTGAGTGAGCGAGGGTGCGTACACCGCTCCCGCCATGCGCCGGCTCGGTTTTTTTTCCCTTTTAGTCTGCAGGAGCCGAATTCTGCTGGGCGCCCGAAGGCTAAAAGGGGAAAAACCAAGCCAACGCTTGGCGGGAGCAGCGCATGCACCCTCGCTCACTTAGTGCAGGCCCACTCGCTCGGTGTACTGCCTGCCGTGGCACACAGTGGCCAGCTGAGCTCGAAGGCGCCGCGTCTAGCCTCCGCCTCTTCCCTGCCTCCTCCAGCCTTAAAAAAAGGTTGACAACTCCGGAGAAGGGGAGTCGCTGGGGGGGATCTTTGCACCACGGCACTGGATATTCTTAAGACGGTCCTGGTTGGCACAGAACTTTGCTGTACCCAAAGCCTTTCAGTGAACAGAAGGGCCATCTAGATGCAACCCACAATCTTTATAGAAGCAGTAAACATATGGAACTGATTGCTGCTGGTGGTGTATGTGTATTAATTTTTCACTGTAAGCTTCTCTTCAGAACTTAAATATAGTCCTGCCGGAACCAGCCAAGGGCCTATCTAGTCTGGAATCCTGTTTCCCATAGTAGCCAATCAGATGCCAATGAGAAGCCCTTCAATTGTCCCTATTTTCCAGGGACAGCCCTGGATTTACAAAAGCCATACCGGTTTCTGAATTGAACCTGGAATGTGCCGCTTTCCCTTAGGACGTCCCTGTTTTAATCAGAGCAATGTTGGAGGCTATGGATTAAAATGCCCCTCTTTTCATTGGAGAAATGTTGAAGGGGACATCTCTATTTTATTTGGAGAAATGTTGGGAGGGTATGGAATAGGATGTCCCTATCGTCAATAGAGAAATGTTAGAGGGTATGCTATGTCTGGCTCCTGTGCCATTTTGAAAGCAGCATTCCTCTGTCAGTCAGTTCTCCATTTATGGTTACAGAGCATGGGTCGGATTCAGACTTAGTCATACAACAGATCTATTTAAATCAATGGGGATTAAGCGTGACAAAGTCTGAATCCACCTCAGCATGGTGAATAGCTTGCCCCTTTTGCTGCTTGAGCAAATACTGTCTCCTCATCGTTTTCACTTCTTTAAAACGCAATCATTCTCAATACAGCAATCATAATAAGGCCCACACAGTAGCTCCCAACCTTTCATTAGAACATTTAATTTTTTCCCCCACAAGGAGAAATAAAATTAAAATTCATTAGAAATCAGTCAGCCATGATTCAAGGTTGGATTTGTCTTTATCATTCGCCGACAGAAATAACATAATTAAACTATTTCAGCTGCTTTCTGTAGATGCTGCCAGCTCCCCTTTGCACCAAAGGAGTCTTAGAGGGAGAGAAGACAAGAGCCACTCCAAACATTCTGGAAGAAGCAGGTTTCCAGAAATTAGGATTACAGTCTTTGGTGGCACACAAAGGTCTCTGCCCTTGGGAAACTCATTCATTTTTAGAATGAAGAAAAGGAATATTGTGGTAAGTGCATTGTGCCATAGAGGAAAAGAAGCCTAGTATGTCCCGGTTAGAGTGGACACCTCAATTTTTGCCCAAAATTAAAACCAAAGCAAATTTGAGGAAATTGTTTTTTTTGGGGGGGGGGGAATGAACGAATTCCTGTGCCCCGCAAATAACCCAGAGATGCATTTTAAATAAAAGCACACATTCTGCTCATGTAAAAACACCACACAGGCCCAACAAATAACCCAGAGATGAATTTTAAATAAAAGGACACATTCTACTCATGTAAAAACATGCTGATTCCTGGACCGTCCGCAGGCTGGATTTAGAAGGCAATTGGGCTGGATCTGGCCCCCGGGCCTTAGTTTGCCTACCC